AACATCGACCAGAAGGGACTTCTAAGAGTTTACGACTCGACGAAAAGTGAAAATGAATCCCATACGAGGATCCAGGCTCAAAACAAGATAATTTGCAACAACTTTCATTAATTGCACAATGGCCCCCACAAAAAGGGTTAATTGCAAAACTGCCCTAGAATGAAAATATCATCCAAAAGATATTTTCTTAGATACCCCTGAAATAAAATATCTTTAAAAGATATTTAAGAAAAACACCCCAAGAAAAGAAATTAATTTCAAAGAATTATGCATCCATGCCCCTATGGACACCGGGAGCAACTAGAGTACTTTCCTGCCAAAATAAAGATACGTATTTCGTGGAAACCACTCACGATAAAGATACATGAAGTCAAAAATCAACTCCTAGCACAAGAAGTGAGGTTTTACCAACAAAGTGACAAACGGGGAAAAGACGAAATAGGGAAAAGGACGAAATAGGAATAAGGACAAAAAAGTGAATAGTGTCGAAAATGAAAATTGTGGAAATGACTCGATCCTCAAAGGAAGTTGTCAATCCAAAGGAAAGAGTCTCAGAAACCATTTCCGAGCACTCGAGATGACACTAAGCGACGAGAAACCGAACTTAGAAAAGGAATTTCAACGAAAAAAATTCATCCGTGAAATTCTGAGGAAAAAAAAAAAAAAGGAAGGAAATGACCGGGTCATTACATTCTTTCTATAAAGGGCTTTCTCCTACTAAATGAACCATGATTGAGTCAATGCACCAAGGAAAGTTTAAATCCCAAACTCCCGAAGAAGCTTATGCTTTCTTAGAAGAACTTGCTGAGAATGCCCAAAGTTGGAACTAGAACCCTTGTGATGACGAATTCTCTAGGAATGATCCCTCCAAAAGAACTTCCAATCCTTTTGAGATCAAACCCAAACCTGAATTCAAATCAATGATGCAAAGTCTAGCGGAAGGAGTCAAAGATTTGAATAAAATTTTGATGCCTTTGCTCTCATGTCAACACTTGTAAACTGCAGTTTCTGTTCAAGTTCATCTCATCCCACCGAGGCTTGTCCGATCTACTGTACATCTGAACCTTTAGATGCACAAGTTTGTGCCTTTAATACCTATAGGAAACCGACGGCTAATTCCTTTGGTTAGACTTATCATCCCGATACAAGAAACCATCCGAATTTTTCGTGGCGACAAAATTTGCCTCCACAAAACTTAAATGGTCCTCTAGGTTTCCAAGGTAATCTTAATAGGCCAGCATAACCTCAAGGTCCCTTTGTCCCTACAGGATATTTTCCTAGGAACACTCAGTTCAATCAAAATAGAGAACTTACAATTGATCCAATGAGCAATTATATTGCTCCTGCCCCACAGCACCACCGTGCTACCAATTATGAGGACACTCTGAAAATGCTTGCCCTTAATCTTGATCAATCTAACAAGCAATCAGATCAAAGAAGTCAAAAGTTAGAGAGTCACTTTGACCTCTTAACTCAGAGTCAACTCCAATTTCAGCAATCTATCCAAAGTCAGTTGACTCAACTCACTTCTGCACTATCTGAAAGACAAAAGGGTACCTTGCCTAGCCAACCTGAAATTAATCCAAGGGGCAAAGAAGTGAATCACATTGGAATTTCTCCTCCCACTGACCAATCAAATAATCAAGTGAACTCTATCTTAACCCTTCGGTCAGGGAAGAAAGTCAATAATCAAGTTGAGCTACCCACCCAAGCTACAAGTGCACCATCCAAGTCTAGTGCATCAGACCCACCCAACACCAAAGAGGACCAAGGTTCCGAATCTGATCCAATCCATCTTTAGTCTTATGTTCCCCCCGCCCCATTTCCTTCTCGACTAGTCAACAATAAGAAGGAGTCACAATACAGTAAGATCTTAGATATTTTTCAAAATCTTCAGATCAATATTCCATTTCTCACTGCTATTAAACAAGTTCCTTCTTATACAAAGTTCATCAAAGATTTAGTCAAAAAGAAAACCAACATTCCAAAAGAAGCTTTCATGGCCCAAAATTATTCTTCCTTCCTACAAAATCAAGCCGTGGTTAAACATAAAGACCCTGGGAGTCCGACTCTCATTTGTAGGATTGGAGAAAAGTTTGCTGACCATGCTTTGTTGGATCTCGGTGCTAGTGTGAATTTGTTACCATATTCAGTGTATTTGGAGCTAGGCTTGAATAATTTGAAGAAAACTAATGTTAGGATCCAATTAGCTGATCGTTCTGTCAAAATTCCAAAGGGTATAATTGAAGATGTGATAATGAAAATAGCTGATTTCTATTACCCGGTTGATTTCATTGTTCTAAATACCCAACCTACCAAAGGTACGCAAATTCCTATCATCTTAGGTCGACCATTCTTAGCTACCGCTAATGATGTGATCAATTGTTGAAATGGTAGTATGACTTTAACCTTCGGGTATATGAAATTGGAAGTCAATGTGTTTAATTTAATGAAGCAACCCCCTGACTCAGATTTTATTGAAGAACTTTGTCTCATTGAGTCATTAATCGCTCACACCTTTGAGAACTCTTACCCTGAGGATCCACTCCAACAATGTCTAGCACATTTTGTGATGAGTTTGATGCGGATAGTTATATTGGTGAGGTCAATGCTTTACTCGATTCCACTCCAATCTTTGAACCACCGAAGATTAGGTTTGAACCATTATCTGTTCCAGTTACCACTGCTCTCGAAACTAAGAAGAAGCCACCCAAGATTGAACTAAAGCCTCTACCTGAGCCTTTAAAGTACTCTTACTTAGGTGAGTCTGACACTTTTCCCGTGGTAATTGCTTCGAACTTGACTACGAATCAGGAAACCCAACTTCTGAAGGTTCTTAGGGAAAATCGTGCAGCCATAGGGTGGTCCATTGATGATATTTGCAGCATTAGTACTTTAGTGGTTCAACATCGTATTCATTTAGATAACGATGTAAAACCTATAGGCAGCCCCAAAAGAGACTTAACCCTAATTTAAAAGAAGTTGTTCTTGCTGAAATTATCAAACATCTTGATGTCGGTATCATCTATCCCATTTCTGATAGTCAGTGGGTAAGCCCCATTCATGTTGTCCCAAAAAAATCAGGCATCACCGTCGTATCTAATAGCCATAATGAATTGGTTTCTACTCGTGTCCAAACTGGATGGCGAGTTTGCATTGATTATCGAAAGCTCAATATTGTCATTCGAAAGGATCATTTCCCTCTGCCTTTCATTAATCAAATGTTAGAAAGATTAGCTGGTCAATCCTTCTATTGCTTCTTAGATGGTTATTCTAGGTATAATAAAATCCCTATCCACGTTGATGACCAAGATAAGACCACTTTCACCTGTCCATTTGGCACATTTGCTTATCGTCGCATGCCTTTTGGTTTATGCAATGCACCTGCTACATTTTAGCGGTGTATGATGAGTATTTTCAGTGACATGGTTGAAAAGTTTCTTGAAATCTTCATAGATGACTTCTCTGTTTTAGTTCATCATTTGAGCAATATCTTCACCATCTTACTCTTGTTCTTCAGCATTGTCGTGACACTAACTTGGTTCTTAACTAGGAAAAGTGTCATTTCATGGTTAAAAAAGGAATTGTTCTTGGTCATAATATCTCCGCTGCAGGAATTGAGGTAGATCAATCCAAAGTTGATCTTATCTCGAGTTTACTCATTCCCAAAACTATTCGGGATATTAGAGTTTTCTTAGGTCATGCTGGTTTTTACCATTGTTTCATTAAAGATTTCAGCAAGATAGCAAGACCTCTCACCCATCTGTTAGGGAAGGATATACCCTTTGAGTTTACCGATGCCTGCCACTCTGCTTTTGAACAATTAAAGTCAGCTCTCACCACTGCACCCATCATCTGTTCGCCAGATTGGAACTTAACTTTTGAAATCATGTGTGATGCGTCGGATTATGCAGTAAGAGTTGTTTTAGGTCAAAAGGTTGAGAAAGCACGACATATTATCTATTATGCTAACAAAACCCTGAATGATCCCCAAACCAACTACTCTACCACGGAGAAAGAGTTGTTAGCTGTCGTGTTTTCTTTTGACAAATTTTGCTCCTATTTGATCGGTTCCAAGGTCATTATCTATACCGATCATGCTGCATTAAGACATCTTTTGTCCAAAGCAGATGCCAAACCTCGGTTGATCCGTTGGATCCTACTTCTTCAAAAGTTTGACCTTGAGATTCGTGATAAGAAAGGCTCCGATAATGTGGTGGCCGATCATTTATCCCGTCTTGTTGTTGAGTCCATTACTGAATCCATTCCAATCTCAGATACTTTTCCGGATGAACAATTATTTACAATAACTCATGCCCCTTAGTATACTGATATTGTCAATTACATTGTGACAGGTCAAATTCCTTCAACTTGGTCCAAACAGGAGAGAGATAAATTCCTAGCTAAGGTTAAGGAATATTTTTGGGACGACCCCTACTTGTTCAAATATTGTCCTGATCAAATCATCCGTAGGTGTGTCCCTGAGATAGACCAGGAGTTTGTCATTTCCTTATGTCATGATTAGGCCTGTGGTGGCCACTTTAGCTCTACAAGAACCGCTGCCAAAATCTTGCAGTCAGGATTTTATTGGCCCACCCTTTTCAAGGATACCCACACCTACTGTCTGGCTTGTCATAGATGCCAATTGTTAGGTAAGATTACTAAGCGTAATGAATGACCCCAACAACCCGTTCTAGTTGTTGAAATTTTTGATGTTTGGGGTATTGATTTCATGGGACCCTTTCCTTCCTCGTATGGATGTCTTTACATCATTTTGGCTGTTGATTATGTATCCAAATGGGTAGAAGCCTTAGCCACCAAGACAGCCGACCATCGAGTTGTGGTGCGTTTCTTCAAAGACTTAATTTTACCTAGGTTTGGTACACCTCGAGCCATTATAAGTGATAATGGTTCACATTTTTACAATAAAGTCTTTGGAAGTTTATTGTCCAAATTTGGTATCACTCACAAAGTGGCCCTGTCATATCACCCACAAACCAATGGTTAGGCTGAGGTATCCAATAGGGAAATCAAGCAAATACTGGAAAAAAACAGTTAATCCTACACGGAAAGACTGGACCCTCAGGCTTCAGGATGCTTTGTGGGCATACCCGACTGCTTACAAGACCCCTATAGGAATGTCCCCATACCGTTTAGTTTATGGCAAAGCCTGTCATTTGCCTGTAGAGCTGGAACACCGTGCTTATTGGGCCATTAAGGCCATAAATTTTGACTATGATAAAGCCGGTGAACATAGGAAACTCCAGCTTGATGAGTTGGAAGAAATTCAAAATGATGTCTATGAGAGTTCCAAAATGTATAAAGCCAAAACAAAGTTGGAACATGACAAGCACATTCTTCGAAAGGATTTCTCCCCCGGATAAAAGGTTCTTTTGTATAACTCCCGTCTTTAATTGTTTCCCGTGAAGTTACGGTCATGTTAGTCCGGCCCATACTTTGTCAAACATATGGCAAGTCACGATGCAATTGAGGTACAAGACTCCACGACTGGGGAATTGTTTAAAGTTAATGCTCATCGCTTAAAGCCTTTCCTTGAGCTCGAGTCTCATGAAATTAAGGATATTCTCCTCGTCAATCCTGTCTATTCAGATTGATCTCTTTGGGGGTACTATCCCCCTTGCGTCTGGCTGAAGACGTTAAACTTAACGCTCTTAGGAGGTAACCCAGTTCCTTGTTTCTATTTCTTTAGCTATGCTTATATTTTGTTTGGGGGTACAATCTGTCATAATTTCATAACACTTGGTCTCTCTTTTGCAATGCATATCTGCAAGGGTTGTACTTCAGAAACACCAAATCAATTAAGGTAATTCGTTCCAATTTTTATTTTTCTTCAGCGGTACATTGTCCATTTCATTCACCACTTTTCAGTGTTTTGTTTTTTCAAACACTAGGGACGGTGTTTTATTTTGTTTGGGGGTATGACAGATTTATCAGAACATGTACCTCTTTTCAAAAAAAAAAAAAAAAAAAAAAAAAAAATCATGCTTTTCTACTTTGTGAAAGTTAAGAGATGTCATTATTCTATATTGAGATTGAGCTTGTTACTAAGGTGATATAACAATAGACATTGCACCATGAGAATTTAGAAGTAGAAATATTTTTGCACAAAGTTGCAGCTTGAAAGAAAGAAGTAAATAATCTCCCAAGAATCTAGAAATCTATTACTGGAGACTTAAAACCATGTGAGCTTTCGTGCCTTTCATCTTTTTAGAGAGTTTTACGCTAACTCCGAGTCACAAGATGGCTCAAATTTCTTGGATAGCACGATAAAAATTTGTTGTTAGTCTCATAATCCTTCATCTTGGTAGATCATTGAGAATGAAATCACATCGAGTTAAGAGAAACATAAGTCTTCTAGTTTACCATGTACTGCCATACCTTCATTACCTTTTGTAATCTTGTTATTTCTCTGAGAAATGTTAGTGATGACTGTATGTAAAAGAAAAAGGGATCAAGAAGTCATTCATATCCTTTTTTAAAAAAAAAAAAAAAAAAAAAAGGAGGAGGAGGAAAATGAAAAAGAAGAATTAGAAGAGTAAAGTATCCCTTTCAAGTATTTTGAAGACCCCTCATTCTCAGAAACATTTATGTACAAATTGAGCTCAATAATATTTTTAGAAAAGGTATGATAATGCATAGTAAAGAAGAAGGCGTTATGGTGGGTAACTCGACATTTTCTCAAAAGTGATCAACATTCCTATCATGAGACTCTTCTATTATATGTATCGGTCCTTCAAATAATTAGTATGTGAGCTTGATTTTACTTTGGAAACAGAGTTCCTACTTACATACATTTGAGAGATACAGTTAGCCAAATATTCGAGAAATGTTCTTTTAGAGAGATATTTACTGTGAGATTTGAAGTCAAACATAGTTTTCTAAAGACTTGGGAATTTCATCACTTGGATTTGAAAATGGATTTTTGTCGACTTTGTACACACACACTCTCTACTTCTAGGTTGTTTATGGATGAACTTTCTTGAAATATTTGTTTTTATAACACCTTAGTAGCTCGTTGTATATAAAGAACTTGATATTTTCATTTATGAAACTTTTCATTTTGTAGATATGCAGGAAAGTTCTTTGGAAGTTTGTGAGTACCTTCACTCGAAACCCTCACAAGGCTATAACTCGTCCACTAGGGGTAACCTATGGGTTTAAGGCCTTATTGCATATGGTAAATGCAATCGAAAGTAGCCTGCGAAAGTGGCACATCTTTTTGTTAATAAAAGTAATATTTTTTTTGTGAACTTATCTATTTTTGCCTTTCTTTGCTAAAGGACTAGCAAAAGCTTGTTTGGAGGTAGTTTGATAAGTATACAAAACCTATGATTTCATGTATCAAAATAAGTTTTAAATTAGACTATTATATTATTTAAACATTCTTATATGCTCATTTTGTGTTTATAGGTGTTAATGTATGAATGGGAAGAAAAGAAAAGAAAAAAAAGCAAAAATCAGTTATATTGTGTATATGTGTGTGCATGTGAAGAAGTGAAATGAGGAGAGAGAAAGAAGAAACGAAAAGAAAAAAGAAAAAAGAAGAAAGAAGGAAGCCAAGCCACGTGAAGAATAGAAAGGAGGAGAGAGAAAGAGAAAGAAGAAACAAAAAGAGTAATCTAGGAAAGAAATGATGAGTTAGAAAAAACAAAGAAAAGAAATGGCATAGAAGTGGTTGATGCATAATGGGTTGATACAAAAGTGGGCAGTGGTCAGACTAAGGTGTAGCTAGGTGGCGTGAAGGAAATGAAGAAGCAGTTTGGGCCATCATCACAGTCTACAAGTGGGTGTCTTCCTTTGGCTATAAAAGGCACACTTCGGAGGCAAATGAGAGTGGAGAGTTAGAGATAGAAAATAGAGAGTTAGAAATTGTTATAATTTTTGAAAGTTTAATTTCTTGTGTAATTTTCTTTAAAGCTTTATTTAATTTAATGCAAGTTATTTCCACAAGTTTCATTCTCATTTAATTTCTCATTCAAGTGTTTAATGTTTTATAGTTGTAATTTCATTTCCATAGTTCGTGACAAATCTCAAAATCAATATTTTTAAATCTCTTGTTCGGAAATAGAAACTCATCTTGAATGCGTGGTTCGACCCTACTTGCCATTAGACATTTTTAATTAAATGGTTGTAGGTATTTTATCTTGAAATGGAGTGTATTTGACAACAATAAGTCCATAAATACACGCCTATCAGAGTCTTCAATCTCAAAACCCAAGGATCTTCACAAAATCTTAACCAATCCTCGAAGTTTTTGTTTAAACCCAACCTCCAATTTGATTTCAAATTCTCAACCTTCAATCCGCAAACTTCAATCTTCAATTCATACTTGATTAATGCAATGAATGATTTTGCAATTATAAAGTGCAATCTTGAAGTTATATATGAAGATATGTATATGGATACATATATATATATATATATATATATATATATATATATATATATATATATATATAGAGAGAGAGAGAGAGAGCAAGTGAAGCCTTTAAAAGTCAAAAATCGTTGCCGGTAACCGGTAACCGGTAACCAGATTGGGAACCGGTTCCCATAAAGCAGTGCTTCGGTCATAAAACGGTGACCAATTCTGAACTAGTACCCAAGTTTGGTACCGGTAGCCAACATCCAGTGAGGTTGGCTTTAAACTCCTTTCACTCCTGAACCGGTAGGGGTAGCTTGTACCGGTAGTAACTGTACAGATTACTTTTTAGACTTGATTTTTTTCAGTAAACAATTTTCTTCCCAAAACCTTTTCAATACTCAATGATCAATGCCAATAACAAAGAAAATCTACAAACTAAAAATCAAAAATCTTTTTGAATTTTTTCAGAGTTTTTCAATTTTTTCTCTTTTTTTTTAAATTAAAAAAAAAAAAAAAAAAAAAAAAACCAAATCATTGAGCATTTAACCAAAAAATTTCAAGTCCATCATGATTCAAATTTCCATAAAATTTCAGAAATATCTATGAATGCAAATAATCGACTCCACAGAATATCAAAATTAATTTCAACCCTCAGGAAATAATCACAACACGAAATTTAACTTGCAAATCTTACAGAAACATTTAGAAATTAATCTAGCAAGTTCATGTGTGTGTGTGAAATCCAATCTCATTAATTTTCAATCGATTTTCAATAAATCATTGTAGAACCATAAGTATCGAAAAACATCAAGATAAGATTGTTTTTGAGCAATTTTTCTAAGCAAGGTGGCTTTCACTTTAAAGAGCATACAACAATTCCTCATGTCAACTTGTCTCCACCTTTCTTTTTACTCAATTAGCTCCTCTTCAAAATCTAATGGTAGCTTTCGATCAATTCTCAATAGGTAGCCTTTTCCTCAACAAAGAAATCAGCAAATTTTAAAATTTTTCTTTTTCTTTTTATGCTGAATATTTTATTATTATTTTTTTTAAGCTCCTAATTTTTATTTCAGACAATAACCTTTATAACTTTTATGATCAATATATACTAGTCAACAATTCAAAGATTTTCAATCAAAATTTTTAGAGATGGACTAGTGCACAAAAACTATGAACTTAAGAAATTCAAATCTAAAAATCTCATAATCAATGCAAATTATCTTTCATTGTATAGATTACAATCCAAGAATCTATTTTTATCAAATAGTCATGTGTCTCAATTTGCATTCAAAGATTGATCATAAATTCATTAAAAGAATTTTCACACATACATCATAAAGAATATGATCAAAAACTCAATACCTAAACCAAACCCTAACAAGTGATCAAATGGCAACAAATTTTTCATTTAAGCACAAACCATGATCACTAATAATCTTAGGACTCAGTTTGAAGGTAAAGTCTTTTTGGACACTAGTTCCACAAACTCAACAGGCATATAATTGATCAGATCTTTCTTTCTTATCCACATAGTTTTCACTTTCACTTCCTGAAATTCTCTTTCATATTTTACCTCTTTCTTTGGCAAATTTTCAGCTCTAGAAATTTTAGGTGACACAAAAAAAATTTTATTCTTAGAATGCACCTTTTTCTTAGCATGAATATTATGAGAATGAATTTTAGAAAAATCTTTCTTTTTCTGTGAAAACATGAGTGATATTTATGTCCATTCTAAGCACAAAAAATGCAATGCAACAGTTTAGGCACATATGACATATCAGAATGCAATACATCAGGCAAACATGGATTAGACATACGATAATCAACAAAAATTGTTTTACCTTGACTACTAGATGAACCTTTAACAAATCCTAACCCAGTTTTATCATTCACATCCTTACCCATGTTAATCAATTTATTCAAACAGTTTTGACCCATTATAAACCCTTTCAATCTATCTTGTGTAGATTGCAATTCAAGTTCAAGAGATTCAATTTTCAA